GAGAGAGAGAGAGAGAGAGAGAGAGAATGAGAGAGATTTAATCAAAATGTAAGTAAACTGTAATTTTAGTATTAAATTAACACAAAATATTATCTTATAATAAAACTAATAAAATTTGGGAAGAAAAGTCCACCAGAAATTAATTTTAAACAAATAAATATATACACAAAATAAATAGGTATTTCAAAGTGATGTAGTTTCAATCAAAATAAAATTGCGTTTTAAATTGTAAATAGCTTTCTTGTATAACTTTATACACTTAATACAATTTTGTGTAGTATTTAAATGTTTATTTTGAAAATTCGTTTTTTAAATTAATTTTTAAAAAATATTTTAAGTGATATTTTTATTTTAAATAAAATTTAAGTTTTATATTATGATTAAGTAGAAAATATTTGTTATATAAAAATATATAAATAATTTCAAAAAATTATGTGCCAAATAAATCACTTATTTATTAATAAATAAATCATTTCTAAACTTATTAAAATTTGCAAAGATATTTAATATACAATACCGTTGTAATTATTACATACCTGTTATTAGAACTGCTTTACCCATTGACGGTAATAATGTTCTAGGTTTATATTTATGCCATAATTGGATCAATAAATAAGTGATAAATAATATTAACAAAATATTGCTATGTACAGTGAAAATTTTATAAATTATTTCACAATGGTAAATAATACATGATAATAAAATAAAAACAATTATAAATTGTATTGTGTATACAACCATTTTATAGAATTGTAACTTATCAAGATTCCTTTATTAAAATAAATAATATACTAATATGAATATTTAAAAATATAACAATAAGCATAGGACCACTTGCGTAGTTTAATTTAATAGTAAACATATTGTTCCATGTTTATACATTTATCTAACCCAAACCATATTTAGCACATATTTATATATTTTGACAAAAAAATATGTTTTAATTGTAACTTGTCATATTACTCACAATTTATAAATTTTCTATATATTTAAAATCATTTAAAAATTATTACGTACATTTAAATTATGAATTGTATTAGCGGCCAAATAATTATGATTTTGATAAAAATAGATTAACATTGAGTGCATAATTTACATATTTACAGTTAATAAATAGTTATTAAATTAAAGTTTAAACTTTATATGTCAAATAAACATTTTATTCCAACTTTTAAAATTATTTTTTAAATAATTATTGAATTATTGTAGCTTTATCAAAAAAGTTACTATATTCATCTAGCCACTCTGACGGAACATACATCATAACAGCTGTCAGTATTCTACCCACAACACCCTGAATAGGGGTATATCTAACTCGGGGCTCAACACTTTCAATGGCATCGATCATATCGTTTACAACAATATCAATATTATCACCAAGGTGAAATCCAGCGTTGAATTCAATGATCATTTCTTTTAATCCATCCAAATATTCGTTACCATAAGCTTTCTGTATATGAGTACTCGTGTGTCTCCACGTCCGGCATATTTTCCCAAAACGGTTGCGATCATCAGTAATACCGGTGCGAAAACCCGAGGGTTCGATAGTAACCACTCGTACACCAAATGAACGCATTTCACGCCTAAGTGTGTCCGAGAAGGCAATCACCGCGTGTTTGGACATACAGTACCACCCGATAGGGCTCATGGATATGCGGCCCATTATACACGACACGTTCACCACCCGACCTTAGTCGTTAGCATGCACATATTTAATAACAATTTATATTTCTACTTTAATATAATTATAATTGCTATCAGTGTTTACCTTGTGAGGCTCGGATAAGTGGTAGGAAATCTCTGGTCACTCGTATCACACCAAACATATTCACTGCAAACACTTGTTCATACATTTCCTCAGTTCCCCATTCAATGGGACATTCATTACAAATGCCAGCGTTGTTTACTAGTGCCCACAGATAATCACCATGGCATTTTTCTTTTAAATGCAGCTTGATGTACTTATAAGCTCGTTGAACATGGTTATCTCTAGTTACATCCATAGCCAATACATGCATTTTGTCGGGAAAGCGGGCGTTTGTGGGCAACTCTATAGCGCCGGCACTGGACTCGGATATGACGGTCGCGTAGACTCTAAACCCGCGCTCATTGAGACGCACAGCCAATCTGTGGCCAAAGCCGGTGTCACACCCTTTAGGGTAATAGAAATGCTTTTATAAAAATAAATGTAATTATTATTATAGTTTTAAAGGAACTTTGTAATTTTGTTTATTCAATTACAAAGTTACCCTTATCAATCTTTCAAATTAAATGTAGAATTTGTTACATTTTATATTAATTATTGCTTACCAGTTATTACAACGGCTTTACCTTTTGATGTCAGCAATACTTTTGGTTTATATTTGTGCCACAATTCAAGCGATAGATAAGTGATAAATAGGTTTAAAAATGTTTTACTAAAAAATGTTATAATATTGTGTATTATTATTAAAAAATATGTTATTAAAATTAACATCGTAAAATTGATTGTAAATTGTCACAAATACAAATAAATCTTTTAATATTTTAATTAATTTTAATTAACTTATTTTTATACATTGCTTATAGAAACTGTTTTTTATAAATAATTATTTATTTTACATGTAAATTATTTTTTAATTATTATAATTATGGTTGACAAAACTCAATGAATTAATATTATTAATAATATTAATAATTTTTTTGTGACACATTTTTTGTTGAATTTAGCATGAATTATTTCTGACACATATTTAATTTTTATTATGTAAGTTTTATTTACTGCTAATTTGTATATTTTTTAACTTTATTATTATATTAACACATACAGTACATAGTTGACATAGTCAAAATTATTTTATTCAATTTATTGTAAATATTACAATCAGTTGTTTTTATTTAATTGTGATTTATCCATTAACCCCATAATTACATCGAGCCATTCGGACGGCACATACATCATAGTATATACAATTATTTTACCTAAAATACCCTGAACAGGGGTATACCTAACTTTGGGCTCAGCATTCTGTATGCCATCAATTATATCATCTACAACAATATTGATATTATCGCCGGACCGCCATACATCATCATTTTGCAATATATTCTCTTTTAAACCATCCAGGTAATTATTACCATAAGCTTGTTGTATGTCAGCCGGTGTTTGACTCCATGTCCGCAATAAACCGCGCAAACTGTTGTCCTGTTGGGTAATACCGGTGCGAAAAAATGAGGGCTCAATAGTGGCCACCCGTACACCAAATGAACGCATTTCACGCCTAAGTGTGTCCGAGAAGGCAATCACCGCGTGTTTGGACATACAGTACCACCCGATAT